TTCATTTAGACGTTTTATTGTCCAAAACTACAACATAACATACGAGTATAACATGAAGATTTCTTAACCCAATGACTCAATATTACATAATCCAGGTGATTATGTGCCTAGCAAGGCAAATAGAGTAATTTATTCAGACTTTTACTAGCTATTCTCATTCAGAAGATGTCTAGAGATAAATTGCACAGTTGTTGTTAGTTTCGTGGATGGTCCAAAGTATGATATGTGCAATGTGATAAGTGAGTGAAATATTTGGAACTGGTTGAAGTTCACGACGCAAAATCATTTTTGCGGTTCCAAACTGATCGTATGTACTTGAAGTAACAGGTATGAAAAAAATGAAGAAATATTTTTTTAATGTATTATTGTCATGTTTGTTTTTCTGTCAACCATCTGTCGTCCGTTTACGACAACCCTCGAAATCAAAACAGGTGCAAGCTAAAGAATAACGAGGGCTTGCATTTTGATGTATGACTTCAAGCATACGTTGGAGACTACGTACTGAACGTACTGAGACTTGGACTCGAAACAACGTCCACATAGTGGTTATTTGATTGAGTAAATGAATCACCAATTCTAACCAACGTCTGACCTGTACTGTTATTTTCCAGAGTTTAAATATACGTTTGTTATGTCTAATCCTCTGGATTTTACATAAATAAGATGAATGAACAACTACAAATTTTAATGAAGTTTTACCTCAATGGATTGTTTCCTCAAATTAGTTCCAGATTCTTCTAGTCTAACACCTGATTTTTATTGTGATCACATTTTGCAGATCTATAACAGTTCGAAATAAAAACTTTGCGACTTTACACTCAGTCTTTCCTTAAAAAAAGTTGAGTTGGTTGAGGTTACCTACTTATGATTACAAGTACTCAGCTAGTTGAATGTCTACCAATAATATTTAAAATTTCTGTGTTCAAAAGGACTACTTGGTGTGATGGTTTATATCCATTGAATCATGTCTAAAAGCGAAAAATGTAATGTCATTTCTTTAAAATGGATTTTCATTGGGACTCAAAGGATATTTGCTACATAACCCCTTTCTATGACCTAGGACTCTCATGATGTTAAAGCATACTATTACCCATGATTTTAACGAAGTTAGAGTCATACCCGTGAATTTAACGAAGTTAGAGTCATGGGTTGTAGATAAGAAAGAGGTTGTTGATGTGATAAAGTGGGAACAGTGGCCTTCCGACGAATTAATTTCAGCCTTTATCTATCGACATAACGTGCACCCTGAAAAGTACTTTTCGTAGCTCGTTGTTTCTAGTCATGGCATTCGAGTTTATGGACCAAATACCACTCACCATAGGGGTGTGAGAAGGTCTTCGAGTAATGATATCAGCATGGTTACGATTCACGAGTGACTATGGGAGTAATCGCGAAAAAGCCCGTCTGGTACACTTTTTTGCTTCCATAATATCAATAATATTTCTCCATTATTTTCTTGACGATGCACCCCTAGGAAAATCATACTTATTCTGATGTATAAAATTAGTCCAATCTAAAAGGTTACCACCAAAAATTGTAACCCAATCTGCCATCCAAATAACAAAATAAGTATATTGATAGCAGGATTCAAGTAATGTTTGGTCACCTCTGTAGGTAGCCTTACCAAAAGGTGGGGCTTTGAAACTGAATCCAACCAAAACTTGACCAGATATAAGCAACTGGAAATTCAGAATGACGAAAATTTCAACTATATTTCATTTCTCCAAAATTGCACCTAATAGGCTGAAATTTGGCATGAATATGTCATAAGCTTCATAACATAAATTGCAGGGATTTTTTTCATTAAGACAGAACTTTACGATCCTCAAAAAAAACATCGATGTTTAAAATTTTTCACTCTCAAAATGTCACTCAAAAGAGTATGTTATTTTTAAATAGTGTTTTTCGTAAATAATTTTGCAAATTTGCAATATAGTGGTTACACATGTTTTTGTAGCTGGAAAAACACACATTGAAAAAACATTATTCTAGCTTAATCTTGCCACTTGTTCATGAACATAACGCAAGTTATTTGCAAAAACTTCTCCCGGAATTATAGTGGTGCAAAAATAAAAAAATAGATGTTTGTGAAATTGAGATTTCGAAAAAGAAACTTCACGGATATAAAACCCCATTGGGACGTTTTCCAGGACGTCAATTTTAACGATACATTTTGCTCATTATTTGGGAAAATTTGCAATGTCTCGCAGATAATTGATTTTTTAAAACAATGTTTTCCAGTGGAGGACACGAAAAGATATTCGTTCTGAATTTGAGCCAAATAGTTGCGATTTTGGCGAAATGAATAATATTTGAAATTTCCGCCATTTCGAGTTTCAGCATGCTCATAGTTGGCCAAATGTCAGTCAGAATGGCGAAAATCCTATATCGGTTAAACTAAGAAGCCGTTGAAAGTCAGCATTGCCGAGCACAAGAAACACACAGAACGAGGTCGCTCAGGAGGAAATTCGAAGAAGACGCATGTTGTCCAACAACGCATTCAGCTTGTATTTTATTTTATTGTCGTTTTCATTTCAGGGGTTTTTCGCCTAATATAATTATTATTTTCAGCTATTCATTTTAATTTTATTCTTTTAGAGATTTCAAATCATATCAGTATTATATTGGATACTGAAAGTACGAACTAATGAAATTCATCGTTTTCTTTTTGAAAGAGCAACATTTTTGGGAAAGAACGTTTTTGGCTTTCTACTACTCCATCTTGATACAAAAAAGAAGGATGAGGGATTCTTAAAAAGAAAGGAAGGAAGTAACTCTATACATTTTGTTTGAATTGTATTGTTAATAAACGAATTTCCGCTACTGGGCGGTTCAAAATCGCCATAGGCATAATATTGTGGGCTGGAAAAGTGACTTCTCGAATTATCGATAGTTTAACGGCAGAACGCTAGATGATGGATAGAATATGATTTTTTTCTTCATGAATTTTTTCCTTATTTAGCGGTATTGTTTGTTCTACAGTTTCGGTTTCTTATATGTGTAAATTCATTTTAATTGAATTGATAGGGTGAAAACAATACTTCTCAATTCACACAACACTAGCATTCAATGCTAACAGCTGTTTCGACACACTGTGTTACCTTCTAACCTAGGTTCTTATATGATGTCATCTCCTTAAGTACTAAAAGTTGCGTCGGTGTTATTTTCTACTGTATCAGACAAAACATGTATTCTCATTTCGGGAATACCTCAATCAAAAATGTTTTATTCAGTAGTTGACAGACGAGGCCTTATTGATTGGCTAGCAAGATCACTACGTTCAACCCCATTGGACAATTTTCTCTAGGGTTGTCTAAGAAGTGAAGTTCATTTCAATGAACTCAAAAATACCGTAAGGTTAAAGAAAATAATTTACCAAGTAATTCGCCAAATCTCCTCAAGCCCTGATCCATTTTTTCTTCGGATTATGGCATGTTTTGGTCTTTGAAGGACAGCATTTTGTGAATTTATTTTGATTTGCTGAATTATCGTGATGTTTTTAATTTGCATGAATTTTGGATTTTTCTCAATTTCTCATTCAATACCTTTTTGTCAGTGTCTTCATTATTTACCAAAATAATTATGTCCTTTTTTGTTGTGTTCAGTGCAACAAATCTATCAGTCGAGATATTTTCCAAGTTGGGGTGTTACCCTTTGATAATTATGGTTGAAGGGGATCAAAAATTATTTGACATAATGATGATTTTGAAATGAAAATCGCCGTGCACAACTTTTTTTTTTATTTACGTCCACGATTTGGTAGATTCCATCCCTTACTTCTATAAGAGATGGAGTCTCTGTATGATTTAAGTTGAAAAAATTAGCTCCAGCTTCATTCTAAATACATTTATTATCGATATTCAACGGACGTCATTTTTTTTGGAGGAAAAATCAGTTTTTCATCGACCTTTTTTTTGGGTATTTGCTACCTTCCACAATCTGAAAAATATAAAAATTATAATGGAGAACTTTATACAAGGGTAGAAGGGCAAACTTTTTAGTTTACCCCGATAAGTTACTGCGTAAAAATCAAAGTATTTTTCACAAAGAAATTTCTTCTATTTATCAGTAACTTGTCGTATCTAACAATTTTGCCTATCAAAAAAAAATTATTAAGAAATAATACTTATCTTTTACGTTTCGGAGGCCAAAATCTGCCTCCGTCAGTAGTTGTTTACAGCTGATTCTCGGCCTCCCCCCACCACTATGACGTATTAATTGCTTTTTTTATTGGTTGTTGTTTGGTGAAGTTTTTTTGTTGTGCAGTGAAGTCAAGGCGTTGTGACCTTGAAGTGTCTGGTGCATGGATCGTTCAGATTTTTTTTTCATATGAGATTTTGTGTGTTTATGTGTGAACGCTGATTCTTTTAGCTTACGTCTCTTAGAATGAGGCTCATTGGTAATCATTCTTGTCCTATTCCATTCCACCCTAATATTTTTCAGATTGTGGAAGGTAACAAATATCCAAAAAAAAGGTCGATAAAAAAAATTTATTATCAATTCCGTAACGAATTACTTTTCAATGTACATAATGATACTGATGATGCAAATATCATGTTCGAAATGTCCTGTCCTAACAAAATATATACAATGAAAAAAGAAAAAGAAAATCTATTCGATGAACATCAATCTGCTCAATTTTAGAAAACATTTTGATAAACTGTAAATAATGTGAAAGGCAGTATATAACCATATCTAAACCAGAATGATGAGGATTTTTAAAGAGTAAATCACTTGATTTTCATTTCACTGTCTCGTTATATTTTTGTAAAATTTCCATTTTTTATCCTCCTAGAATTTTTTCAACTCAAAGTTTTTTTAATAGATTTATTTATTTCACTTTCATTGTTTCCATTACAATATGAATAATTTATTTTGTAAAAACAATTAATTTTTATAATGTGAACTTCACGAAAAATTTTTTAGAAGACTTTTCAGAAATAGCAAAAAAATTCGAATGAAAAAACTCCACAAATCATCACTTTTCCATTTATTTTCAGATATGTTTGTAGCTATAGTGATAGTCCTGCTACGGTGCATCATCACAACACGAGGAAATGTCATTTATAGCCATGAAACAAGTGGTAAGTCCAACGACAACAAGCCAATTAGTATCTTACTCAACTTCTTAATTAACAATTTCAATGAGTCCCATTGTTTTCAGAGAGATACTTGAACAGTCAATACAAATAATGATCGCGTAACCTTAGACATTCTCTTCTTTAATTTTTCCTTGAAAATTAATATTTACTAATGCAATATGGACCAAAACTGTTCCTTCAACCAAATTGAAGAAAATGAAAAACTACTTGTCCTAGAGAGATTAGAAAAATTCTCTGAAAGAAATGCAGAACGCAGTCCTGCTCTTTACGTGTTTGGGATTTGTTTTTCAGACAAGGTATTTGAAATACTTTCTTTCAATCTATATCATATTTACGAAAAATTTCACATTGTTTTTCAATATCGAATTAGAAGTTGAAAACTATCGTGGAAGAATGATTTGTTGAATTTCCATGACTACATCAAATATGAAATGCGAACGGTAGCTAAATTTGAAATACGAATTTCAGCCCTAATGTCAATAGGTTTGTAACAAGCATGACAATGAATTTTTAATGAAATATGCGGTCACAAGGGTACTTGGAAATTGTCAACAACATTCTGGTATTCGACGAAATTGGATTGTTTGATTTTGACGAGCTATCATAACTGATATTTCTAGCATTCGTAACAATTCCAAATAGTGAAGGGTGGAAAAAGATTCAGACTGAAACTGAAAGCAATGGATTGCTTATTATTCGAATAGTTTTTATTCTTATCGTCTTTTGAAAGTTTTAAAATTATGAAGGTATAAACCAGTATATTTGTGGGGAAGAAAAGTCTTGGTTTGGTCGAAATTTCCAAAAACGGTATGCTGAAAATGAAAGGTCTTTCAGACTAGGTAAAAATGACTCGACGTTCTCAAACCATTCTTTGGCATGCAACCACAAGTTCCCTAATCTAAATGACACGGATATTTTGCACTATGCAAGGAAGGGTTGCAAACTCAAATATTCGGAATCCTTGGAACTTCACAAGCATAAACATTGCGGGTGCAACCTGTTAAATGATCAAATCGATTTAGTTTACTCACCGGTTTTCAAATTAGCATATCCACATTGTCACTAGTTAACAAAATTCAGATACTCAATCAAGCTAAGTACGTCTATTATCACCTACAGTGGTGTTATATCAGAGCTAATGTAATCAATCATTTTTAGTTTAATGTGTAACTTTGGAAATTTCCTTATAGGACCAAACTGCAGTAACGTTAGTTACAAATAAAAGTGGTAAAAAACATATGAAGTTTCAATTCTATTTTCTTCATTATGATTTCCTACCGCACGAAGTAACGGCTATATCCATCAATTTCCTGGTTTTTTACTATTTCATCATTATACAGAAAATGTTGATAACTTCCGGAAAAAGAAAGAAAGCAATTAAGTTCGAAATGAACTCTTTGAAAGATGTGTAGATCATGCTTAGAGGTTACTTCTAAATACGAACTGAAAGAAAAAGCTATCCCGAAACAATTACCATCACATGAATTACACTAACAATTTCGAAACAACTTTAAAACAATATTGAATTATACGAAAGTCACTTTTTCCCACTCAGTTTGTATTCCAAACATTCGTTATGGAATTGAATCAGGTATCATTCATAGAAATGTTACCCAATATAGTATACGAAAGAGTTATGATATGAAATTTTACTCACATTGAACACTATCATCCTCAAAAGGAGGGCTTTTTTCCAGTTTGTATCTGAAAGTAACTTCCATGCACGACTCACACATCTTTGTGAATAGTTTTTCGAACTTAATTGCTTTCTTCCTTCCTTCGGAAGTTTGCCACATTTTTCTATTCAGGTGGAAAACTAGTAAGGGCTACGATTACCGATTTTTTTATTTTTTCAACTTGGTACACTCATCACGAAAATCTGTTAACAATTTCATCTGTTTAGCATGTTTAGTTTGTTGTTGAGAAGCAAAAAAATAAGAACTGTTTTGCGTGTTTGACGATTTTCTGCTACCAAAAAAATGGATTGAATAATTTGCTTCGAATTTTGTGTGAAAAATGTAATTTAGTGCTCAAAAATACTTGAAATGTTGACAGTGGCATATGGTTATTGTACTCTGACTCAAAAAAATGTTTATAATTGGTACAGCATGTCCAGAAGATAGGAATGACGATGCTTGCCCTGGACACCCCAGCACATCTACAAAATGTTGGGAAAGTGAAGAAAATTGCTATAGAGAATAGTCTAATCACTATTAGAGAAGATGTTGAGTATGTTGGCAATTTTTTCGTAAATTGTAGGCATGAAGTGTGTGGTAGCGAAGTTCGTTCCAAAATGCTGAATTTTCACCAAAAAATCCGTCGCATGAGTATTGCTCAGGAATTGTTTAATGTTGTGGGTATATGGTTATGACATCGAAACCAAACTACAATCTGCCCAATGGAAGAGGCCAGGAGAGCCAAGATAAAAAATAACACGTCAAATGTCGATCAAATGTCAAGGTTTCGCTCACTGTGTTTTTCGATTACCGTGGCGTGATGCGCCAAGAGTTCTTGCCACGTAATCGTACGGTCAATAAGGTTAGCTAAGGTTAGGTCCAAAGTGAGTGGGTCTATTCGACCCTCCACTGCAACCATCAAGGGTTTCATAGTGGCTCACACCTATTCACACTCGTCCCAATAAACCTAGCTTCTTAACGAAGCTGATTAGTTTGTAAGGTGAGTGATCTCTCAGGAAGGGATGGTAAGAGTACGAACTCTAAAAGCCTGATTGGGTCCCCAGCAGGCCAGGGACAAAGTATATGCTCTGCTGTGTCATCGTTAATGAGGTAGTCGGATAGTCAAGGTGCAAGAGTCAAGTTGCAAGATCCCCACCTTGATACCCACGACAACCTTTCCATATGAGGGTTTTTGCACGTCAGCTACAGCTGACCGTGCAGGGCTTTTTCGCCTCTGGTTTCGGTGAATCATCACTTGAGCGCAAATGTTTGCTAACCAGGTCCACGCCGCTCAAGAATTTGGTGCAAGGCGGTTTCATAAGGTACCCCGCTCTTGAGGGGACGACTCAGTTTCCTGGCTGCACCACCAAACCTTTTTTTAGGTTCAGTTATTGGATCAGGAGTTGGAGAGTTGAGGAGCTCTCACTCCTCATCTAAATTTACAGGGAGGTCAGTTGGAGTCGTAAGCTCGACATCCATCTCCTCTGTAGACTCAGCGTCAGAAAGAATTTTTAAGTTTACTCTGTCCCTAAAAGTCCCACGAGTAGCTAGGGAAAGAAGGTCAATTACTGCAGAGCACCGTATTACCGTGACAAGACGATGTTACGACGAGAAGGCGCCCGGTATCTCGAAGGTTCCGTAGAGACAGCTGATAGGCTCAGTGTCATTCATCCTATCGGCACGGATACACACATCTTAGGATAAAGCCATTGTTGCCATTCAGTTAGGGAATAACAGAATCACAAGTGATTCTGTCATCTTCGTATCCAGCAGGGCTACGTGGAAGCATGCATCCGATGGCCGGTTTGCTCAACCCCCACATCCCAAGCCAATGCACTCGCCAAAAACAGCGTGCACAGTGTATCAAGCAGTGAAAGATAAACAATGACAGCCAACCCGCCCGGTCAATAAGGAGTATTATCTCAAAGTTATGTGTCGCTTGCGAGAAGCAATACCGGTATTGTGGACAAACAATTCATGGATTCTGTATCACGATAATGCACCTGCTCATTTGTCTTTGCTCGTTCGTAATTTTTGACCAAATATACCACTATAATCATGTCTCAGCCACCGTATTGTCTAGATTTGGCCACCAGCGACTTTCTCCAGTGCTCAAGATGAAAGATATCCAAGAAAGGGCGGGGTTTTGCGACGATTGAGGAGATGACAATGACATACCAAAAAAAGAATATAAGAACTGCTTCAAAGATTGAGAAAGACGCTGGCACAAGTGTATCATATCTGAGAGGAACAACTTGGAAGGAATTGATGAATAAACAAATCTTTTTTGGAAAAAATGAAAATTCACCTCATTTTTTGAATAGACCTCGTATACCCCCTCTCAATTCAAACAGTATTTTCAAATGTTTCGAATGATAACAACATCAGGTTTTCAAAAAATCTATTGATATACGATGATTTTCACTATAAATATTAACGATGTAAGCCTTTGCGTCAGCACCGACATTATTTCTATAAATGTTGTATCCAGAGAAGCCATTGCAAATTGAAATCCAACATAATTTATCATGACTGAAAGTAACATATTTGATTATTTGAGTTACTGATTTTTCAATAAAACTCTCACACTCTCATTCTTGATTAACTAGCTCAAGTTTTATCAAATATGACAATGAATCAATCCTTGAAATCAGTGTTATCACTTGCTGTCAACTACCTACATAAATTGTATGGTGACGTTATTAGTTAGGTAATACTAACCTGGAGGTATAGTTGACAAAAAATACAAGTAAATGGGTTGATTGAGGCACTGAAAACGCAATACGTATACGCAGGGCCGAATTTAGAGAATATCAGGGGGGGCTACTGCACCGAGGAGTCCATAGTAGAGGGGCCTTCACAATAAAGATTACAAAATAGCCAAATTTCACATTTTTTCTCACCAACATGTTTTTGCATTTTTACTCAGACATAATAATATTGTTATGGATATATCAAAAATCTCCAATTGCAAGTTCATTTACTTTCAATTTTTGATTTAATCAAGTTTTTCAGTGGCAATATTTGTTGCTAATGTGTAATTTGCAATTCGTACCCATGAGTTAAAGTGAAATGAAGTAAGTAAAAAAAATCCAAAAAATAATTAATAGTTAAGGGCATCCACTCTTTCGTTGCCCCAGGGCCTCCAGACTTCCAAATCCGGTCCTGCGTATATGCAAGTTTAGGTAGTAATGGTATAGTACAGAAATCATAGATATGGTACTTGCAATTTGGCCAAAATTTGTTCGACAAAAGGGAATTCTGAAAATACCATTTTTTCTGTTTCTTCTGTCATTAACAGATAGAACATTATTCATGCTCATTTTTTTAAACACATTGATAAACTGTTACCATAGATACAGATGGAAACATTGAGAAACCTAGGTGAGTTGAGTGTCATCGTAAATGATGAGCAAGAGAATATTATCATATCATATGAAACAAAACTAAATGGTTTGACCAAACGTTTTTTGATAAAGTGTTTTCCCAGTTTTGGTGTAAGGGAACAGTATTTTCGCAGAATTCACTCCATCTATAGATACCGAATATAACCCGTTCTATGGATAAAATTACGTACGTTTATATTGAGAAGATCTTGAAAATGAATATAAGAAAATGAATTAAACCGAGTAATGCCCCATTTTTCAATTGTTATTTTTGATTTAAAAATTGATCAACAGTTCTGAATTTGGCGTTTTTGTACAGAAAAGATTAGTTTTGACGATATGATTGAGCGAAAATTTCACATATTTTTATATATTTCAGGAACCGACAAAAATATCACAGAATTCCATGTGGAATATGTTCTATTGGACAATACTCAAGTATGTAAAAGATCATGTGTTAAAGGTGCTTCTCCAATGATATGCAGGTATCATTTCGAAGTGGAGTGGTACCATTCTCTTAGTAAAGCATGTTACAACTGCCCTTTCAACATAACTGACTGCTTTCGACCCCATTGTATACCTGGTGATGGAACACGAAGAGGGGTAGTGACCGTCAATAGAAAACTGCCAGGACCTGCTATTGAGGTGAGAATATTTTTACATTTTTAGACTGTTGCCAATACAGATCTCGTAGAACGAAGTCGAATAAATCTCCAATAAACTACCTCCTTTTTGAGAACAGTGTTCTGCACTCTTCTTTCAGCAAGATCACCTGTGTCTTCATTATGGTGTTTTCTGCTGCTGGTGTTTTTGTCCTGATTCTGATGATGATGTATTTCGGGGTAATTTTTCTTCTTAGGCACTCCTGGTTGAACCATAAATTTTGCAATGCTTGATGGTACTTCATTTTCAGTTTAAAGTAGTATGTGGCTTGTCTAGCTATAGGTACTTGCTTTCTTCAATGAATTGATGGATGTAGCCGTTACTACTGGATAGAAGATCATCATGAAAATTAAGAAATAAAACTTCCTATGTTTTTATACCACAATATATTACAATAAAGAAGCATAGGAAGTTTCATTTTACAATTTTCATGATGATCTTCCACCACGTAATAACGGCTATATCCAACAATTTATTGAAAAAAGCAAGAATAGTTCAGATTTTCCATTTTTTCAAGCAACTAGTTTTGACTTAATGACTTATGAGCATCGCAGTTAGTATTGACTGATATGTCAGGTCAAAAATCCAATCAAAAGTTTATTGAATTGAATCAGTTCGAGAAGACCAGTAGATTGACTTATTATTTTTCATACATCTCAGTTATCTATATCACAGTTCTCGAAAACCGTCATATCTTTTTGAAAAATTTTCAATCTGAGCTCTATGGCAGAACACCATCTCCATTCTCATGCATAGTACAACATTCCTTCTCAGTCAAAATCATCTTCCCCATAAAACAATATGTAACAAGATTGCTGACAACTTGAACACGCAAAATGATATAGGTTTCAAAATGAAAATGAAAACCCGTACTCACTGAAACCTTTCAAACTCAAATTTCAATCTTATCTCATATATTTAAAGTTTTCTTTCATCAATCAACTCTGTACAACTTTGTTTTTGTTCTCGTTATACCAATAATAATTAGATCTTGATCATTCCTTTCAGACAAGTCGACTCGATATACTGCCAATTACTATCAATTATTAATATAATCTGGTGGTTTTGAAATTTTTGTATGTGTATTTTTTTTCTCTGGGTTGAGTAACTACCACTCAACCTAGAGATAAAAACAACGTTCTACTGTCTGATTCTCCATCGAAGACATGCTAATTTTATCTTTTGAAATAACTGTATTCAATGCTAGATGGTTGTTTAATGAAATAAATAATTGTAATAATTTTTTACGGGTTGATAAAGAATGTTAAAATATTACCCAATTGTTCTTTCCTGGTCGATTTATCAAAAAATAAGGTGAATTTTCAAAAAGTATTTATTTATTCATCAATTATTTTTGTCAACGATTCGGTTTTTATCTCAATCGTCACAAATCGCCCTCCTTTCATGGACCCCTTCAATCATGAGAAATAAAAAAAGTTGCAGAGTTGTTTTTGGAAAAAGCAATGACCAGTGAGCAGGTGCTTTATCGTGATACAAAATCCATGAACTGTGTTTCCACAATATCGGACTTTTTCTTTGCATTGCTTCTCGCAAGCGCCGCATAACCTTGACACTCAATCGAAATTAACCGAAATCAGAAAATAACAATTTCATTAAACAACAAACTGGANGTAAAAAAACTGCATGGCATGAGCCAACCGATATGCCTACATCCTCAAGAACTTCTCTAATAGTGGTTCGACGATTCTTCATAACAATTTTCTTCACTTTCCCAACATTTTCATCGATTGTTAATGTGCTAATGTTCTTCATCCTTTTATGCATTATATTCTCAAGAACTTCTGTATTGTCCATAAAATACGAACGGTATCTGCAGCTAAGGACTATTTTGTTCAAGTGTCTTGCGAAAGGTCAATGTCTAGTTTAAAATATAAATAAACGATTTGTTTGGATGTCGATGGGAGTAAGAATGAAATGGCAATTTCTGTGTGTCTGAATGGAAAAAATCTTAAAAAAGCTCCTCACTGAATACCTGACCTGATTCAATTTGCCATCATTCTTGGAATCGATATATTGAAGGATTATCAATATAATAACCAATCATTTCGAAACGAAGAAAATGAACGGCAATTCCATACGTTGTACCTATACTTAGTACAGTTTGATATTCGTTTATTGGATGAAAAGCTATGGTAACTGCGAGAATCTAAATACTAGCGTTAATTTCATCTTTACAAACCTCAGATCACTCAGAAGACAGAAAACATTTAGTGAACACGATGTTAGGTTTTGAGAAAAAATACTTCATTACTTCCAACAAATTTGATGAGAAAACAAAAATAAGTCGATCTTTAATTCATCATAACCTCGACTACCATATCTCCTCTCCAGCTCTCTTGGTGACCAAATTCTTTGAATTTAAACAGGGATAGTACTGAATGTAATACATCATTGAGAAGAATAACTGCATAATGAACATTTCCCAACTTTCCATTTTGGCGTCCTTTTGCAAGAAAATTAGTGTGATCGAGTTAGCTGCAGAATTTCTTCAAAATGTCAGAAAACGTTTCGTACACATGCATGACAGTTCGTGCCTCTACTATGAATTAATGTAGTTTGGAAATATTGAAATCATGCACCAATTTTTTTGTTCGTGCAATTTGAGTTCAATTTTTCAATTATTATTCATCTTTTTATGACTTGTTCACATTATCTTCCAAACGAAGTATCATAATTTGAAATACGGATGATGTATCATACTTAGTACTTATTTTATTCAAATTATAATTGTGATTATCACCAAGAATCGAGGAAAAAGTTTATAACAGTTGAAGTTATGAGAGGAAGATGTTTCATTTAAATCAAAAATCGATATGTGTTTGCACTTTTCTCTCAACAAATGTGAGTTGAAGATATTTGGTGTGTTTCGTTTCTGGTACGGCACACTGTGTATATCATCCGGTCGATTGACTATAGTATTTGACGATAAGAAATATTTTCAAGGTTTGTCAACATGATATTGTAGTAGTTGATGTCCAGAACAAAATGGGAAGCGAAGCGACAACCATGCACTGGCATGGACAACACCAAAGAGAAACACCCTACATGGATGGAGTCCCATACGTAACGCAATGTCCTATTCTACCTCATAATACATTCAGGTACACCTTCAAGGCTGAACAAGCTGGAACACACTTTTGGCACTCGCATATAGGTAAGTAACGTGTTTTCTGACGTTAAATCAACATTTATTATCAGATGATGAACTAACCTTATATAAGACGAAGGCAAGACACTCAATAACCTTCATATTTGTATTATTTCCTGGACCGGGATGGACCCTGGCGAATAGAAATGATGTAATCAATTATTCAAATGATAAAAATCGAATAGAATATTAAGTCAGAGATATAGATACAAAATATAAATGAAACTTTGTCATCATCTTTTATGTTTGTAATCCGTTTAAACAACAACAACAAGGCCAATATTTGGCCCCCTGTTGTGTACCTTATATTGTAAAAAGTGTCACTTCAATAGCTGAGTCAGTTTAAACAAGACCTTCTGGAGTATAGTTATATATACATTATTGTCAAATTGCATTACCTCTTATTCGTTTTGTCTTAAGATGCATTATGGTGATGATTAAGTTTGTATGAGTTGACAATTCACATAATCTCTGAGTTGGATATTCAAGAGAGTGATTTCATTATGGATGTATGAACTAAGTATTATCGGGGTATAAGTGTAACGTCAGTAATTTATCTCAAAACTTCAATAAATATATTAGTAAAGCCTTCAAATTGAGGTGAAACTGAAAATAATGGATTTTGTTTAGCATTTCTTATATATTATAAAGTCGTACATAAAAACAGAAGATGCGAATGAAGTTTTAAATATTGATTTTTAAGTCTTCAAAGCTTGATCATGAAATACATAGTAATACTAAGTCAAAGGGCATCGTAATATGGTGTCGTAAAAGTATAAATAAAAACAAAAAGAATTGAAATAATTGGAAAAACATACAATGCGATGAAAGGAACAAAAAGGCTGAGTCAAAATATGGGTATTCAAAATGAGAAAAATATTTAGTCTTCATTTTGAAGACTTCTGAAAGCAGATTTTACTGAAATTACTATTGCATTGGTGATAATGATAAGTTATTTCAGGAATGCAGCGAGCAGATGGTGTTTACGGACCTCTGATAGTTCATATTCCCGAAGAAGAAGATCCACATTCTCAGTTTTATGATTATGACTTATCTGAACATACCATGACAATAATAGATTGGGATAAACAAATTGGTATCGAAACATTCCTATCGCATCATCACAATATTGGCGATAACAAACCACCCACATTACTCATAAATGGATACGGTAGATTTAGGCAATTCACTGCAGAAAATAGAACAATTTATACGCCAACTGCCAGGTTTTCTGTAGAACAGGTGAGTTTAGTTCATTTATATTATGATTTACAAAAACAACGGGGGTTTTGTCAGTTCGTAAATCAATGGAGACAAAAGCTTCTTCAACCTTATGAATCAACTAGTGAATAACCATTCTGACTCAGTTGTACCTTCCAATGACGTTTTTGTCGAATTGAGGAAGAGAGTATTTGACTTTTATGATGAACTTGTACACATCCAATTACTGAAAATGATTCTGTTGCACCTTTCAATTATCTTGTTATCGAATTAAGGAAAAGAGAAGTTGACTTTTATGATGAACTTGAACACATCCAATGATGATAAAAAGATCTCAAATTTTGTGATTCTTTAAGTTTCATCATTATAGATAGCAATATAGATGAATTGAAGATTTTGGATTAATCTTCTTAAATATGTCGTGTCATAAGTCAGCGAGAAATATACAGAAAATATATTGAGAAAAATTAACAGTTCGGAGATGAAAAAACATTTTTAAAAACATGTTTTCTTCCAATTGATCTTGCGAATAAAATGTAATTGAAATTAACTAGTGGTAATAAGATGAAATTGTTTTATTCATTTCATTAAAGTGATCATGAATTATCACAAAATAAACAAGTCATCAATCACACATATAAGACATTTTTTCTCTGCTTTCAAAGCCTCGTCCATATCGCCGAGTTTATTTCGTTGAATATTATTATAATTGTTCTCAAGATTGACATGAATAATGCATGAAACATATTATAAAACATTTTTCATCATCGTTTCAACTTTCCCTAGTATTACACGAAAAAGACAATGCTGGGTATTCGAATGGTAAGTTAAAACATGTTGCTGCATTCGCTATATTTCCACCACAGACTCATGCATTAATAACAATAATATGGACTATGTCTACCTAAATGTTTTAATCCGCACCTAGTCTACTTTGGAATTTCTGTGGAACTTGCAATCCACAAAGCCAACATATAAGAGACATATTTCTATTCCACTTGAGTTTGAAAGTATTATAAAAAATGAAACGAAAGGTGTCAGATACTTTTTGAATGAATTCTCCAATTTGATTGACTTGTTTTTAGGGCTACCGATACCGATTCAGAGTGATAAATGCTGGATTCTTGAATTGTCCTATTGAAATGTCTTTTGACAATCACACCATCAAAGTTATCAGTACAGACGGATCCGATGTAGTTCCAGTAGAAGGTAAGACACGTACATAAACATAATCACTACAAATATTCATTAGTCACTTAGAGTCATTTTATTCAACAATGAGCAATGTATTTATATTTCTGAGTGTAGTGGAAAATTAGTGGAATTATTCCAAAACCAAGCCTTTTATTGAAGTTAATTCCTTCTATTTGAAGCAATAAAAATTTATTACCTTCATTTCCACGGCAATAAAATAATCTTAGAAAGTACATATTTCATGTAAATTATGAAGAAAATAACAATATTATCCGTGAAAGCTCTGCCATGTCAAATATTATAAAAATCTCAAGTAATAAAATATAATTGAAGTATTATTTTCACTGAATCCAATTTCTATTTCACCAGGGTGTTTTTTGATATATTTTCCTCAACGTTGTTACATTTCTGAATCCATTTTTCAGGAATGTCAGTCTGTACCTGTCGTTTTACAATGAGTATGAAACGAAATATTCAAACGAAATTTACTGCAAAATATGTTTATGAATGACAATTTTGAAATACTTGTTTATTCGGAATCCTTCAAATCATGAGAGGGCTGGAAACACTTGTTTTGTGAAATATCTACAAAAATATGCCATAATGATTGGATCACTCAAATAATTTATATCTAAAAACATTACCAGATGAAGCAAAATTGGTTGTGGCCTTTCACTTAGTGTATCATTTTTGTTGGTTGTAAGTGTGTGAGTCGAGTAGTATCTTAACTTGGTTAACAGGAATGAAAGGATAACTGACATAAGAAATACTACTCAAGTAAAACAATAAATATCATCAATTCTTCAAATAAATTAATGAATAAATAGGAAAATGTTTTAAAGAGTCACCGAAGTATCATTTCACTATCAGGTTCATCTTATTTTCAAAACCATAATAAAGCAATAAATAAAATATCAACATTTTTGAAGAATTTAGGCATTTGAAAATGCCATGCTCGAATGTGTTTTCTATTTAATGTCATATTTGAAAATTACATTGATATACAGGGTGTCCCTGGACTTCCTTTTTTCCTCTCGGGAATGTATAGATGGGGTCAAAATATCACCAGTACTTCATATAACTTTTTTTCCTAAAATCCTTCGTTACCAAGTAACGGGCCCTCGAAGTT